CAAAGCCACAGCCCGCAGGGATGGGAGCTGTGTCCATCTGGGCTGGCCCAGAGCCACCTCAGCACCCTCTGAGGAGCAGGAATCAAGCAGGGATTTAAAAACCACCGTGCTGAGGAAGGAAACCATCACAGGGGCTCTGCTTCAAGGGTAAATCTCAGATGGCATCGATCTGAAATTCTCTTTGTCGTGCTGGGGAGGGAAAAAAGCTTTCAAAAATACCAACCACCAAATCTGACGCCATCCTGGGTGCAATTAGCCCCAACCTTAATCTGTCAGAGCTGTGAGATCATACAGGTTGCATGAATGCTAATAAGCATTTGATATTTGTACAAGCTTTCTGGGGATGAATAATTCAATTGACTTCATCCATTAAATTTCCCCTATTAAGTTTTCAAGCCGTGGCTGGGTTTTAATGGCTGGGGCCACCTCATCCTCCAGACGAGGGGGCTTAATTAGGAATTTTAGCACACCCTGACAGAGCCACAGGGGCTGAAATCTCTGTGGCTCTTTGGGTTTTGAGCAGCTCGTGTCTCTCTGCTGGAGCCCTGCTGAGCCCCTGGAATAACTCCAGCTCACACCAGGTGGGTGCTCCAATCCTCCTCCAGCGTTATTTAACCCTTTCCATGGGGCCAGCCCCTCTCTGGAGGCTGGGAAAGTGCTGAGGGGCTGCTTGGGATGAGGGATGTGCAGCTGCACCCATGCACCCCCTGGATTTTGGCACCACTCCATGATTCTGTGGGTCCCTTCCAACTCAAGATATTCTATAATTCCGTGATTCCCTGAAATTCACTGATGCAGAGACATGACCAGGACTGTTCCATACCCAGCTTGGGCTGCTCCTCATGCCAGGACCCCTCACTCATGTCCCTCACTTGTAGGTCAGCCTTGGGTTGGTTTGTTCCAGCTGGGGGTGTTGGGTTATCCAGTGAAAAATAAATCTGTTCACAATGAAAGGGAGAAAATGCCAACGACCCTCATTAAGTCACACCACAGGGAAGAACCAGATTAATGATTTGAATATTTGATTGAAGTCCCCTGGAGCAGCTTATTCTGATTCTGCTTTGCCCCACGTGGAGGCACAAGCTGCCAAGGGCCTGTGGCCATGTCTGCAGGCTCTGTTGGATGCATGGAAAACAGCATTCCCACCTGAGTTATTCCCAAAAAATGCAGCCACCACTGGACAACAAGCAGGAGGGCTCCATGCCTGGCAGGAGAAGGAGCTCGTTTACCCTCCCCTCTTCTCCCTGCTTTCATTCCTTATGTCCTTATCAAATCCAGCTGCCCTGCTGGGCACCACCTCCCCAGGTCTTCCTCACCCTCTCCCCTCCCTGCCTCTGTGTCAGTTTATTCTGACCGGCTCATTAATTAGTTCTGCTCATTAACCAGAAGAAATCTCACCAATGATAACGAGTTCCAATACCAATTAATTCTTCAGGGAAGACCAGGCACTTCACAGCCCCTTGGCAGTGACAGCATCAGAAGCCAGCAGGGCCCCTGGCATGGGGCTGGCGGCCACATGGACACAGGGATCATCCCTGGAAGTGTCCAAGGACAGCTTGGACAGCAGGCTGGGATGGGGGAAGGTGTCCTTGCCCATGGCAGGGGGTGGAATGGGATGAGCTTTAAGGTCCTTTCCAGCATAAACCGTTTTGGGATTCAGCCACGGAACACAAAACCCACCTGGCTTCACCCAGGTGCCTTCCCACCACACTCAGGTTCCAGGTAAATATATCCAGCAGGAATTACAGCAGGGATATCCCCCCTGTGTGCTGCTGTGAGACCCCACTCCTTCCCTGTTTGATTTGAGCAGCAGGAGCACAAGGCAGGGAAGACAAAGGGCAGGGAAGCTCCCTGCAGCCTCCTGGCAGGCAGGGATGAGTCAACGCTGTGCAAACAACTCTAAAAATACAAAGGCTTTATTGCAGATTAATGACACCATCAAATGTATTTCACTGGCCATTTACCAGGTGTTGATCATAAATATTTGGGATTCGAAATAAACTTTTGTGCTGTGCCACTGCCGTGGTGTTTGTGTCTCTCCCACCTTCCCTGGATCAGCCCCCGGGGGTTTGAGCAGGTAATGGAGACAAAGGAGCTGCTCCTGCTCCCTCCCTGCAGCACAGGGTCCTCTTCCCACTCTGTTTTCCGGGGATCTGCAATTGCAGTGGATGAGGCCAGAGCTGGGGAGATGGGCAGGAGATACCTCCCACAGGTATCCCCCGCTGGCACTGCAGCCTGACAGCTCTGCCCAGGGCTCATCCCGAGGTAATTCCAGGGAAATGCAGGGGAAGGGCTCACCCCAACTCTCTCCAGCCTCCCTGGGAGCCCCTGGACCTGGAGCCAGGCAGCCTGGGCAGGTCACAGTGCCTGGGTTTGATTCTGAAGCTCGCAGTGACAGAGATCCCAACAGTTTGGATTTTTCCAGTCCCCTGGCAAACAGAATTCCCTCAGCTGTTTGACATGCCTCCAGCACAGAGCCAGTGCTTCAGGGACACTGGGAATGGTTCTCCAGGAGCTGGGATCCAACCTGGAGGAGGTGACAAGTCAGTGATCAGCAGGAGCCTGTCCTTCCTCCCTGTGAGGATGACCACGGCTCCAAACTCTCCAGGGAGGCTTCCCGTGAGTCCCATCACAAATCACAGGATCAGGACAAGTCCTGGAGAAGAGGACAATGTTTTAAATGGCCAGGAGAAACAGCATCATTGCTAAATAACACCCATGGTTATTAAGAATAAACCTTCATCATGCATGGAAATCCAACTCTCTGATGGAGCATTAATTAAGTTTTCCAGCAGGATAAAACCACTTCCTTGCCTGGGATTTCACTCTGCTCACAAAGATTAAAAATACAGCTAATTAAAACAAGGCTGGCATGCAAAGAAGGGAAGAATAAAAGGTCTTGTTATGGCTGGGAGGGGACAGAATCCTTCCAGATGCAGGTACAGATGAGTCAGGGCTGCTGAATAACCCCCCTGCTGTCCCTGTGCCATGGGGAAGGTCTCCCAGTGCTGGGAGAGCTCCTCCAGCAGCTCTATATCACCTGCCAGGCAACAAAAATGTCCTGAAACTGGCTCCAAGGTAGCTGGTAGCCAAGTGCAGTGTTAATTAAACAGCCTCACTAGCTGCTCCAGACAGCTGCTCCAGAACTGCTCCACTTCCCCCACACCCCTGATCATTTTCAGTTCAAATGAATTCTTTTCCCTGAAGCATTTCTGAAGGGCTGTGGAGAAAGGATAACATTTCAGGCATTCCTTCCCATCTCTCCTGCTTTCCTATCCCATTCTTCTCTTGGCCAAATTTGTTTGGCCTGAAAAACTGAGTTGAAATAGTTATTGACAGAGAACTGAAATGTGAAACTTCACATCTAGAATGTGAATCACATCAGAGAACTGAAATTTCACATCTACTGAAATGTGGAAGGGCTCCTACCAGTCCTCCCACCCATGCCCAGAGGGTGTGGCAGCAATCAATCACCCCCAAAATTCCTCACAGAGAGGGGAACGTGGTCTGGGATGCAAAAAGGAGGCAAAGGGATCGACCACAGATGGTGGCCAGGCTGGGGAGCGTCCATGGCACTGACGTGTGTGTGGGCAGCAAATTCCCTGCTCAGCCACAGTCCTGATGGGCCAGCACTGTGTCACCAGCCCAGAACTGTCACAGCACTGTGTCACCCATGAGAGCAATGACGAATTTGTCTTTACAAACAAGCTGGTAGATAGAATTAGCACTGAGAGATAAAAGAAACAATGGGAAGGATTCCACTGATTGATGAATGGGAAAAGATATTTGCCTTTACAAAGTGTAGGTTTGCTGCTAAATGGAATTGGATATTGAAATATGAAAGAAGCAATGGGGGACAACAATGAATTCTATGAGAATTAAAAATTAAAACGGGAGGGTTATATATTAGAGGGGAATCTCAGGTATCAGGTGTTCTGGGAAATCTGTACCTCTCAAGTATCTCAGCCCATGAGAAAAGAGAGAGGGAAATGTGGCTGGGAAATTGGGATAAAAAGGGAGGCTGCGTCCTCCAAAAATCTGAGAGATCCCAGGGGAATGTCCCATGGCCTCTCTCTTTATTCGAATAAAGTAAAAGGACTCCTCTGCCTCCTTTTTGGACACAAACCTCTGGTGTTTGTGGATTCATTTTCCTGACACCCAGAACTGTCTCATCACTGTCCCAGCCCTTTCCCCTTTCCCTATGGGGAACAATCCCGCGGATTTCAGCGGCTCCTGCCAAGTCTCAGCACATTCACCCTCCTCATTTAAACACCCAACTGGCATTTCCTTTTAATTAGAGCGGGTTAATCAAACCAGCACCGTGTTCCACCCACAGCAGCGGTATGAGGGCAATTCTCCCGATATCCGTAATTAAAAATCGCCGTGCTGGGGGCATGGAGAGCCCCTCTTATCACCGCTGACCCTCCGGAGAGCACTAAATCCACCATTTCCCTGCTTTCTCCTCCTCTTTCTCCGGCCCTTGCCCGGCAGCATCATCTAGTGGCCACGGTCTCCATGTGTCAATGTGTGGATCGGGAATATCCTGAGCTGGAACCATCCCGGCCCATCCTGGAATCCCGTCCTGCCCCAACTGCCCAAAACCCTGGCCCTGAGCATCCCTCAGAGGCTGTCCCTGAGCTCTGGGGCTGTGCCCATCTCCTAGGCAGGCCGAATCTCCGTTTGGGGTTGCTTTAGGCTGATATTAAACAATAATAATAATTAATAAAGTTCTGGACACGTGGCGGTGCGAGGATAACGGGGCAGCGCCGGGCGGGCTCAGAGACTGAGGGGAGCGGGGAGGATCCGCCTGGGGACACACGGCGGTACCAGGGGTGCTGTGGGAACCAGGGGTGGGGTGACGGCGTTTTGGGGGGATTTTGGGGTGATTTTGGGGTGATTTTGCGGATCGGGAGGCCCGCGAAGAGAAGCGAAGCGAAGCGCGGAGCCGGGGAAGTTTGGCCTCTGCGCCGCCCCGTCCGTCGCCACGGCAACCGGCGCGCCCGCCATGGCGGCGCCCAGCGTGTTCCTGCTGGCCGTGAGCGGCGAGATCGAGAGCGGGGAGGTGCGGGAGACGCGGGGACACCACGGCAAACACAGCGGGACAACACGGAGGGGTGGGGGGATCGCCCTGGCCTGGTTTCGGTCTCGGTGCTGCGTCCGCCTGCGCAGGATGAGAATCTGCCCTGCCTGAGCCTGGCCGGCCTCAGCCCCCAAACCCAACCGGTCCTCATTCCCCTCAACCCTGCACACCCTCAGCCCCCAAACCCAACCTGTCCTCATTCCCCTCAACCCTGCACACCCTCAGCCCCCCATAACCCTGCCTGCCTTCATCCCCCTAATACAGCTCTGCCTTTTAACCCATCCCAGCTTCATTCCCCACACCCATCCCAATCTCATCCCTCAAACCCATCCCAGCCTCATTCCCCAAACCCAGCCTGTCTGTCCCAGTCTCACAGCCCTGACTCGGGCAGATCCTGACCCCCAGAAATTCCCAGTGAATTCCCAGTGAACCCTCCTCCTCCTCTCTCTCTCTCTCTCTCTCTCTCCTGCAGTTCCCGGGATTTGATGATCTCTACTGCAAGTTCTCCTTTGTCTACGGCCAGGACTGGGTCCCCACGGCGGTACAGCCTCTGTCCCCACCCTGTCCCCATCCCCCAGGCTCAGCCCCGCCCCAGGCTCACCCCACATTCCCTGCAGGGCCTGGAGGAGGGAATCTCCCAGATCACCTCCAAGAGCAGCGTCTCACCCACCACGCTGGTCTGGAACTTCCCCATCGACATCACCTTCAAGAGCACCAACCCTTTCGGCTGTGAGTGCTGCTGGGGGGGTCCTGCCCTGCTGCCGAGCCCCCTCTCACCCCCATTTCCCTGCAGGGCCACAGATTGTGCTCAGTGTCTACGGGCCTGACTTCTTTGGCCATGACGTGGTCCGAGGTTATGGAGCTGTCCACGTGCCCTTTGTGCCGGGCAGGTGAGTGCCAGCCTGACCTGCAGCTCTCAGACACATCCTTGGCCAGTTATTGTGTTGTTTCAGAAAGTAAAAAGCTCCCCAAAACCTCCTCAGTTGTGCCATATCAGTTCACAAAGATTTTCTGGCAGGACTCTTCCATCATCAGAGAAGTTTTGGTAATCCTGTAAAAAACCCAAATGTGAAGCTCAGTTGCTCACACAATAAATTCTCATTCCCACCACTGGGAATGGAGGAAGATCTGTTGTTCCTGTGCAAACAAACCCTTTCTGTGAGAAAGGAAAGTGCCTGAAGTGTCAGGAATTCTGTGCCTTCATAAATATAAAACTGCTTTTTATTCATCCCTGAGGTTCTGGGGGGCTCCTCTTTGTTTCAGGCACAAAAGAACCATTGCTATGTTCGTCCCAGAGTCCACCTCGAGGCTGCAGCAGCTCACAAGGTAATAATTAATGACTTTAATTCATTAAGGAATTCATTTCTCTCCTGTCCTTAGCCACAAAGGCATTTGCAGCCACTCAGTGGTGCAGAGGTGTGGCTGCTCTGTGCCAGAACCAGTTTTGTGTTTTTTAGATAAAAATCACATTTTCTGGTGTCTGGGTCTTTTGAAAAGTTTTCATAAACATATTAGCTGCAATATTAATTATACTAATAAAATAGATATAATTATTTTTTATAATATCAAATAATTAATACAACATGTTATATTAATATATAACATAACAAATGTACTAATTACCTGCTGACTGCACTAAATTACTGCCTGAATCTTCTTGGGGCTGTTTTGGAAGAACAGCCACAGCAAGAGCAAAACCCATGAAAAAACAATTCCCATTCTACATTTTTGTAAGAAATTCAAGATCTCCAAGCCTCTATGGTTCTCTGGGTGATCAAGAGGAATTTTTCAACAATATCTTTGCCACAGAAAGATTCTTCTGAAAAAGAATCTTCCCAGAAAAATTTCTTCCCAGAAAAAAAACTGGATTTAACAAAATCTATATGAAACCAGTTGCATTTTTTTTTTTCCTGAAGGCTCAACTTACCTTTGATTGATCAATGAACCCTCCTGGCAGTCTCACTGATGTTCCTCTCATGCCCTGGGTCAATCAAAAAATGATGATTTTGTATTTTCTGCTCCCAGCTGGTTCACAGGGAGACGCCCGGAATTCACCGACCCCAAAGTGGTGGCGCAGGGAGAAGGACGGGAAGGTGAGTCCTGACAGCTCCTGGCTGCTAAAACAAAAAAAAAAAAAGCTCCACAATCCATCCCAAAGCTTCCTTTCACTGGATTCATCCCCCTGCTCTCTGTGCCAGTGACCAGGGTGCGTTCCCAGGGCTTTGTCACCGTGTCCTTCAATGTCGTGACCAAAGATCTGCACAGGCTGGGCTACGACGTGGGCACAGCCGAGGGGCCTGGGCCTCAGGGGCCCCACAGCTTCTGAGCCCCCTCCAGGACCTGCCCAAAACTCTTCTTAGGGAAAGGAGGAGCTGCTTCAACTCAATCATCCCCCAAAAAACAAAAACACCACCAGCAGCCCGGGAGGATTTGGGAAAATGATCAAGCTTAATCCTCTCAGTAAGGTTGAATATTGTGGGAATTGATGTTGTTGATAACAGTGTTATTGATATTCAGTGTTTTTAGGGTCTCAGAGCCCGTGACAAAATATTTTTATAGCAGCCTTTTGCACACTTTTTTATAGAATTGATGACACTAATAAATGATATTAAAGTTTTGAGCTGTAGCAGTTCCCCTGCTGTTAAAACTTTGCAAGCCCAGTTTCTTTTTAGTGATTTCTTTTTGTATTTGTGTTGCAAATGAGGAATTGAAATTATTGCACCTTCCAAAAATAGTCCTGTCAAATGCATCCCCCTCTAAGCTCTGTTAGGCTGAATAAATTCTGTTGCATCAATAGATTCATTTGTCTTTCTGCTGATTAATTTATTTGTTTGTGCCAGGACGTTTTTAAGCTCTAAATCATCCAAGCTCTACTAAACTTAAAGGTAGAAGAGAAAAATAAGTGTTTCAATGCAGTGATTAATTGCTGAGTCATTTTCCTTTTTAATTTTGGGCATGTAACCTCTTGTATTTGACTGCAAATCCAAGGAGAACAACACCTCCCTAAAAGGGAACTACCAAGATTTCCAAGTGCAGAAAAACACCCAGGGATGAAGCACAAATCCTCCAGGACACAGCTCACCCGAACACCCAGGCAGAGATTGTTCTTATCCACAGTGAGATGGAATAAATTCAATTTCTGAAAACATCAAGTGGTCACTGGAACGTTGCTGGGAGCAGCAGCTCCTTTTATACGACATAAAAATACTTTTCCAAACGTTTATAGGGATCATTTTTCATCTGCCTTGTTTTTGTTGACTCCACACTTCCAGGGGAGTTGTTTTGGTAATTTGTAATCTCTGAACTGAATCACGCTGGAATCCAAATTCAGAAGCATTTCCTGTTGGCTCAGAGGAGACTCGAGGAATTTTGTTTCTTTTTCAGAAGTTTGGGAAGCAGTCAGCTCCAGCAGCAGGATAAATATCTGTGTTTGAAAGGCTTGGGAGGCAAACCCTGAACCCCCTGCTGCTGCCTGAACACCCAATTTCCCCTGGAGCACAGCTCCTGCCCACATTCCAACTGCAGCAAAGCTGAAAAAAAGGCACAGGAACCTGGCAGAGCCCAGACCTGGTGCCCACAGGGGATTTATTCACACGCAGCTCCTTCCTGCTGCTCCAAACTCCTGAATTCCTCCTGTTCCAAAGGAACTCTTGGGTGTTTTAACCCCAGTGAGGCCAACCAGACCTGAGCCAGCTGAGAGGAAGGGAGGTTAAAAACAATGAAAAGCAAAAATCCTGAACTCCATAAAACAGGATTAAAGACACCTTGAGGTATTTAAGCTGCTCTCTGAGCAGATCCCACACTGCTGCCTGCATTATTTGGGCTTTTTGCCTATTTCCTCTGGGTTTAGTTGGATTTTGGGGTGGTTTGGATTCCTCAATGGCTTGAGCACATCTAAAATCTTCACCTACCTTCCTCAAGGGTTGGGCAAGTTCTCTAACTTAAATTTCCTGTGAGTGTTTCCCCCAGGACATCATCCAGGAGCTGATGTTTGATATCAGCATTTCCCAAGCCCAGTGCCATTCCTCAGATCCATCTGTTGATATCCCTCAGAAACTTCTCCCAGAAATTGCTTCTGCCTTTATCATTTCCTGGTTGAAATCTTTGCTCCTCGGGTGTGGCACCTGGGGACAATCTCTGAACAAAGATGGACAGGGAACAGTGACAAGGAAGGGGTTTAGGATCCTTAATTGTCCATGGAAGTTCAACCCTAGAAGAATCAATGCTTTAAGAGCAGCCAAATCCCAGTAAAAGCCAGCAGCAGAGGCTCAGGGTGATTTCCAGGCAGCTGGAACACCCTGCTCCTTTCCTGGTTAATCATTCTCCCTTCAAACCTCCACTGAAATTCCCAAGCCCACAACAGCAGCACGAGGCTCTGAGCTGGAAAATCTCTCCCAGATGGTGAAATTGGTTATTGTCCTCCCAATTCCGGCTGGGCAGGGAGAAAATCTTCCTGGAGAACGAATCCTGACACAGGAGGGGCTCCAAGGCCGTCACAAGCCAGGGAGCCTGGAGAGGTTTGGGGTCTCTGCAGCTCTCGTGGACAGGCTTTGGATTCACCCCATGGGAGTTTTGCTGCTGTTACCCAGGGACTGAACAGCAGCTTGGGCACCAAACCCTCCAGGAAAAGGAAAATCATTCGGACAATCCTTAGGAATTGGCATTTGCAGCCTTTCGGAACAGCAGCAGCAGCTCCTGCCCTCTCGCGGCTGTTCCCAATCTTTAGAAAAACGCTGGAAGCGTTTAATAAAAATTCACTCCGAGGCTGAATGAAGACTTGAGAATTTTTCCCGTTCCTCCATGGAAATCGCTCCGTGCTGGCTGTCCTGGCACCGCCCCTTGTCCCCAGAGCAGGGACAAACTCCCCCCGGGGCTGAGCCAGGGATCTGAGCATCCAAAGCTCTGCCCCGAGGCTGCCAGGCTGCTTTACACCAGGGAACGATCTCCGTCTGAAAATGAGACGGATTCAAGCTGACAGCAGCTTCTCCCCAGCAGCAGTGTCGGGCTGGGAGCAGGAGATCTGTGAAATTCTCCAAAGGGGAAAAAAAAAGAGCAGGAAAAAAAATCGAACACTCAAGCGCAGAGCAAGGAGAAAATCGGGGGTTTGGCTCCAATTCTCGACAGGTTTGTAGCGATTCCTCCCTTTGAGGATTTGGGGGGATAAAGGTTCTGGACACACATCTGGGGTCACAGGACAGGACAGCTGGGGTGGGAGCAGTGACAGAGCTGGGCTGGCACCCCCAGGGTGGAGCATTCCCCGTTCCTGGGGACATCCAGATGTGGGAATGGAGCAGGAACCCCCACCCTGGGCCTCCACAGCTGGATGGGCTGGTGGCCTTGGGAAGCCCCCCCAGGACATGTCCGGGGTGTCCCTCATGTCCCAGCCCCCCGTGAGGGCACTGAGAACCCCCCACCACCCAGCCCAAGGTCCGGGCACAGCTGAGCAGCACATCTGGAGCAGCCACCAGCTGCTGTTTGGGATGTTTTCCAGGCCAGTTTTCCAGGCCATACAACCCCCAGCAGGAGCCCAGCGAAGAGCTGGGCAAAGACCACCCCAATCCCACCCCTGTCCCCCTCAACATCCACCTTTGGGGTGCAGAGGGGATCCCTGAGGGCTTTTTCCATCAGCTCAGGAATCCCCTGGGAGGGAAACATGAGCGAGCTCAAACCCCAAGTTCTGAAACACCCGTGGATATTTGCAAACTCAGGAGCCACCTCCACTTTTGGAAGCAAAAACTCCCAAACCTGCAGTTCCCACCCAGCTCAGAGCTCCCAGCAGCCTCCAGTGCTCCCGACTGGGGAGCACAGGACAGCACAAACCCCTCAGAGCTCATCCTTTGGGCATGGAAAGCAGGGCTGAGCCCCCAGGAGGGAGGGAGGGAATAACACAACCTGCATTCCCAGCAGGATCTGAGGGATCCAGCCTCGTCCTTCAGAGGGAAGAGCAGCAGATGCTGCTGAAGATGTCTATTTTTGGCTCCCTATTCAGGCCAGGATATTTAAGTACCGAAATTCACCTCGGAGAATATCATCACTCCATTTAGTGCCAGACTTGCTGATGAAGATATTAAAAAAGCAGAAAAATCCCCCATCACCATCACCCAAGACAACCCCAGGCAGCCCACGGACTCCAGGGCTGCTTCAGCACAGCAGAACTGGCTCCCTGGAGCTTGGAAAATCCCTGAATTTCATTCCATGGGCAGAAAAAGCCCTTTAGGAAGAACGCAGGCCTGGTTTTCACGGGTTCCAGGGAAAGAAGGACACAAAGGTGTCTGATGGTTTTCCATCGCAGGCGTTACTCGAGGTGGTTCAGCCACGGCGCTGGGGAGAATTCCAGGAGGGCTGGGAGAGAATGGGTGGGACTGGGAGGGTTTTCAGTGGATGGGTGGGATCGGGAAGGTTCAGGGGAGGATGGATGGGTGGGATCAGGAGGGTTGGGGATGGGTGAGTGTGATCAGGAAGGTTTTCAGTGGATGGGTGGGATCAGGAAGGTTTTCAGTGGATGAGTGGGATTGGGAGGGCTCAGGGGAGGATGGATGGGTGGGATCAGGAGTGTTCAGAAGTGAATGGGTGGGATCGGGAGGGTTCGGGGTGGATGGGTGGGATCAGGAAGGTTTTCAGTGGATGGGTGGGATCAGCCCACGCTGGCTCAGGGTCCTGTGCAGGATCCTCGCCTCCACCCGCTCCTCCAGCCCAGGCAGCCCAGCCGCGGGCGCTGATCCCGCAGGAGCAGGAGGAGGGGATGGATTCACTCGGGGGTTATCAATCAGCTAATCAGAGCCGGGAAATCCGATATCTCTGCTCCAGCAACATCCCCTGGCTCGGATGGAGCTCTGACCCAACCTCCAGCAGCTCCAGGTTAATCAGGGCAGAGCCCAGGATGCCATTCCTGCCTGGGAGGATCTCAGAGTGATCGAAGCTGGCAGTGCCCCTGTCCCAGAGAGGGCTCCTGTCGGGAAGCAGCAGGCAGGGAGCTGGGAAGACAAACTGCACCTTTGCTCCGGCTTTATCCGGGTGGTTTGAGGTGTCACAGATTTCCCTTCACCTGAAATGGGAACGTGTTCGCTCAACAAGTGCCAAGAACAGCTCAGGCTGAGCGATGTGAGCGTGGGCTGAGAGGACACCGCTGATCCTGGAATGCTTTGGACAAAAGCCTGGAGGGACAGGACACAGGGAATGGATTCCCTGTGGGAATATTGGGAATAAATCCCTCTCTGTGAGGGTGGGGAGGCCCTGGCACAGAATTCCCAGAGAAGCTGTGGCTGCCCCTGGATCCCTGGAAGTGTCCAAGGCCAGGGCTTGGAGCACCCTGGGACAGTGGGAGGTGTCCCTGCCATGGCAGGGGTGGGATTTTCTTTAATCTCTCAGGGAGATATTTCCCAAAATCATCAGGGTCCCACAGGTGTGGGACAGCTCCAGGCTCTCCCTGCACAGCCCCAGGATGTGCTGTGTCCCCCCAGGGGATCCCCACTCCCAATTCCCTGTGGATCACCAGACCCTGCCATGGGAATGGCACCAAGGGGAACTTCTCATTCCTTGGCTTCAACAATTACAGGGCACAATCCATCAACAGCAAAACAGAGCAGCCACCAGCACATCCCACCCTGCCCCTGCACCACTCCTGAGCTCCCAAACAAACAGCAGTCCTTAGGAAATCCTTAGGAAAACTTCTTGAAGACAAGTATTTTTATCTGGAAACCTAAAATGTAACAATTCCCTGGAAATAATATATAACTACTATATATTACTATTGCTAGCTTTATATCCCGTAATTATTGATTTTTCTTATGCTCATGTAACTGCTAAACAGTACTGAATTAAAGTAGTTCCAGCTGAAGTTAAAACCATGCAAGTGGGGTTTTTGTTGTTTGGGGGTTTTTTTTTCCTCACTTTCAGAACACAGTTTTAACTGGGGAAGGCCAATCTATTTCATTTCAGGTCTCGGTGGGGTTTAATTACTTTGAAAATAGATAAATAAAGAAGCTCAAGGTTAAAAGACCTCTTGGAGTCTTCAAATAGGAAGGAAATCCAAGCCAAGTGAACACTGAACTCATTCATCCTCATCAGCACTGCCAAATTTCCATGAAGATTTTCCTTATCATAAACTCAAATGGGGAAAAGGTGACCTGGGAAGCGCTTGACAATTAACTCGGAAAAATATGGGAGTTTTGAGCACGAGGGGTCCATAAATCCCGTTGGTTCCCTGAAATTCAGCTTGCAGGGTTCTACAGAGGCTGTGCCAAAGCCAGAGCACGAGATGGGCCCGGCCCTTTCCTCACAATTCCATGAAAAGCAGCAGAAGGGGCAGAGCTGCAGCCTCAGCCCAGCACAAACCTCAGCAAAATCTTCAGCAACGGCAGCGTGGGCGAGGGGAAGCCAAGAGATAAATCCTTATCCAGAGCCCTCTTCCTCTGCAGAGCAGGAAAATCCTCCTCACTCCTCAGGAGAGGAACAGGAAATGTGGGATGGGGGAGCAGATCTGCAAGGTCAGCAGAAACCTCAACAGGGGCTGGGGCAGCTCAGGCGCCCCTGGATCACACAGCCACCAGAACCCACAGAACCCTCCAGAACCCACAGAACTCTCCAGAACCCACCAGAACCCACAGAACCCTCCAGAATCCTCCAGAACCCACAGAACTCTCCAGAATCCACCAGAACCCAGCTCCTCTGGAAGTTTCCACTCTGAGCAAGAGGATTTAGCTTCAAATGTTGCAATTCCAAAAGGCAGGAGTAGAGTCAGAGAATCCCGGGATGGTTTGGGGTGGGAGGGACCTTAAAGCCCATCCAGTTCCAACCCCAACACCTTCCACATTCCCAGGGTGCTCCAAGCCCTGTCCAGCCTGGCCTTGGGCACTTCCAGGGATGCAGGAGCAGAATCTGGAGCATTATTGGGGCAGCAGCTTCCCCCAGCACCCCCAGGCAGCTCCAGCTGAAACCAAACTTTTCTCCCCAAAGCCACTTTTCCCACAGTCACATCTCCAGCCCCACCACAGCTTCAGCGTTAATTAGTGACCATTGATTAGTGATCAGCCTGATTGGCAGCAAACTGCACAGGGAACCTGGAGGGGCTCTGGAGAGGCAGCTCTGCTAATGAAGTGCCCTTCAATTAAAGCAGCCAGAATTAGAAGCCTGAATCACTTCCAAGCCACGGGACCTGTGGGGCAGAGCCAAGGCTGAGCTACAAAAATGGGAGGTGAGGATTCCCCAAGTTCTGTCCCAGCTCCCCAACCCTCCTTTCACAGCCACCTTCCCCAGATTCCTGCCTGGACACCAATCCAGAGCCTCCACGGGGGCTGCTCCTGTTCCAGGGGTTTAAAGAAGGAATTCAGTCATTCCTGCACCACAACAAATCTTCATTTTTATTGAGTCAGTAAGGGCTCAGCTGAGCCTGATTTCAGTGAGCCACAGAAACCCTCCTCTCTCCCAGGCACAGCAGCCTGTCCTGGGAGAAGTCCCAGATGCATCCAAGGAATCCAGAGCATCCCTCCATCACAGGGAGATCCCTCCTACCACAAACCTTCCAGCAGCAGCTTCCTGCAAAACTCCACCAAGCAGGGCTTGGGTGGGAATGGGGTAACAAACACCACGCAGAAGCTTGGAAAAAGCAACGAGGCTGGAATAGAAGCAATACAATTTTAATTCTGACCAGTCACCTTCAAACCCCTCGTCTTTCCACTGTTCTGATGGCATCATTTAAATATCACATCTGTGACATCGCTTTGGGTAGGGGTGGGGGGGAGGAGGAGAAAAAAAAAAAAAAAAGACACAAAGATACAGACATTATGATACAATAGTACAAATGATAAATTATTTATACAGTAAATAATGGCAATAGTCAGCACAAATCCAGAAAAAGCAGCCGGCTCCCGGGATTATGAGAAGTTTGGGAAATATTGGAACACTTGGAAAGGAAGAGTTGTGTGAGATTCTGCTGGGAAAAAGAAATCCCCTCTTTCTCTCTACCTGTGCAATATTCAGGCATAGAGTACACCTCAAACAGGAACAGCAAAGGGGCACAAGGGGAACGAGAGCTGTCTTGGCTACGGGACTTCCCAAAAACTGCAAACGCCACAATCCCCCAGGGCTTCCCTTCCCTGCCCCCTCCACGGAGCTGAGTCTCTCTAGAGCATAAAACTGAATAAATAACTGAATTTATTTTGGGGAGAGGAATTATGCCAAATAGTGTGTGTGTTAATTTTTTTTTTTTTACAAGATATTTAACACTTTTCATTTCGGTCAATTTGACCGGTAAGGCTGTTTTGGGCTACTAACGTTTTAAAAATCAAAAAAGAAAAAAAAAAAAGCACTTCGAATATTTGCAAAGTGAGGAAAAGGAGAAGAGGGGAAATGGAGAAATGGGGCAGAAGGGATGCAATGGGACACAGCAACATCCTCCAGAAATGTGGGAGGGCCAGGAGGGAGGGAGGATTATCCTGGAGAGCAGAAAAATCATCCCAAAATGAGCTGGACCGTTCAGAGCATCCCCAGGACAGTGACTCCCCCCCGTGTCACCCCCTGGGGACACAGCCCAGCCCAGGAACATTTGCCAAACCGGCTCTTTCTCCTCCTAAACTCAGCTCCTGCCACAAACCCTGTGCCAGGCTTGGTTAGTCTCAGCCTAAGTATTTCCTGCACCAGAATTTGGGCCGTGGTTCCTCATGGAGCCTCCTCGGGGTTTGTTGTGCCATAAATGTCTGTGTTGAATAGAAAAGGGACAAAGTTCTGGGGACAGTGACTTGGGAGGAAAAGCAACAATTTGCCATTCAACAGCTTCATTAAGCCAGGGCTCCCTCCCAGAGGCAGCTTCAGCAATTCCTGGTGACAGCTCCAACTGCAGATTATTTCAGCACTTTCAATATTTCTCATCTTGCCTCTAAAAAAAGTTCCTCGGGATGTGGCCAGGACTCTGGGCTGGACAGACTAAGGGACAAACACCTTGAGTGACCTCGATTCCAGTGCTGATCAAATCCAAGTGGGAGAAGAACCCTGGAGGAATCTTTGTCACAGATCAGCTGGAAACTTTCCCCCCCATCTGCAAGAATCACACCCTTCCTGCTCTGCACTTCCCAATAACTTCAACAACAACAGAAAAACTCTTTTTCCTTGCTCTGAAAGGCAACAGGAATGGGGTTTGGTTTGGTTTGGTTTTGTTTTTAAAGGCAGGCTGGGTGTGGACAGCAATCCTCTTCCCTCCTCTATAAAAACAAGGATTGGGAATCCTCCTTGCCAATTCCAGAGGTTCCAACATCTGCACAGGAACATCCCCACACTGAGCATTCTGCACAGCACCAGAGCCACCCTGACCTCCACAGCTCCAGTCTGGGCTTGTGTCCCTAAATCTGCTCATCCTTCAGCCTCCCCTTCCCACCAGGAGCTGGATCCCAGTCCTGCCATGGGATCCAGCCCCTCTCTGGCCCCACAGGGAATTCTTCCACCACAACAAAAATCTGGCAAATTCTGTTCTCCCCCTCTAAAATTAAGGAAAGGCCACCAAGTCAGTTCAGAGGTGCCCAGCAGGCAGGGAAAAAATCCCTTCCCATGGATTTTTTGGGAGGGCAGAGCTGAGCCCTGCAGAGGCTGGGGCTCCAGCAGAACCCCTGAGCGTGGTGAGGAGTCCAAAAATGAAAATTTATTAAAAAGGGATAATTCATCTCCCAAGGGATGGCTGGACATGGAAGCAGTTATCCTACGGAGTGCACCTTCCAACAGGAAAAATCAGTGGATAAAACGAAACAGGTTGGGTTTGTACATCAGGATTTTTAACAGCTCCACGAGTTTTAACAAGGAAAATAAAACCAAACAGCCTCTCTTGGGATCTTCATCAAGGCTAAAAGTCTGTCCAGTCTGGGGATTGGGAAACAGGAACAAATCAAGGGAAAGGCGACTTTAGTGTTTTTTCTTTTTAATGTAGTCTTAAATCATGTTATGCTCAAATTCAATTCATCTAAAAATAATTAGTCACGAGGATTTGTTTTTGATTTGCATTATGAATACTTCATTTAAAAGTAAATATTTTAGTGTTAATCTTCCCTTTTAAACTCTCTTTACAGAAACAAAGAGCGAAAACCATAAATAAGAGGGCATTAAAACCATAAAAATGACATTTGCCAATATCTTAATTTTTCAGCCAGACTTGATAAATCTATCAAAACCAGACAGTTAAATAAGAACCACATTATAAAAATTAGCAAAAAAAGGACTATTAGGTAACTCTGCAAACTCAAAATATGAAACTGTACTAAACAAAATATGTGCAAAAGTATACAAGAGTAACTGCATATAGCAAGGTTAAGCCTGAATTAGTTTTAAAGCTTGCCCCGGTGAAACTGAATTCAAAGTTGTCCCACTGTATTTCTTTTTTTTTTTTTTTTTGCTCTCCTTTTCTTGGTTTTTTCCATTTTTTTTTTTTCTTTCAACTCACATTGTAAGTCAAATAAAAACAAAATACACATGAAAAAACTTCCAAACGAAGCTGGTACTGGACAAGCACAGAGCAGGACACTCACTCAGCACGAGTGCAGCCACTCACAGAGAGTTCCAGGAGTCCTTAGAGTAGTGTAGGAATTCAACACTGCACACGACAGCACAACTCGAGCATGGTCTTGGGTGTTTTGTCTGGGGTTTTGTGTTATTTTCCTTTCGAGACAAGCTTGCTGTAGTCAGTCACACCTCAGAGATACCAAAGCAGTGCGAGTTTGCAATGTTTAATGCATAAAAACCAAGCCCCCCTGGGCCCTCCGGGTCGGTCTCTTCTAAGAGTAAGGACTATGGGTGAACCAACAGTCTAGAACTGTGTGGAGTTATGTGCAAAACATTCACTAGCACTCGGAATCTCAGGTCTATCTTACGGGCAGAGGAAGTGACAGATGCAGGGGGAAGAGTAAATTCAGGAATCCAGCACATGATCTGACATCTACAAAATAGCCAAGGGAGTTTTCCAATGGCAGGTTCTCTCCCTAGAAAGTGTGTTTGAAATGATTAACAAAGTAACAAAAATGGGCAGGATCTAACTTTGGTGAAAAGTCTGAACATTTTCACATGATGCTCAACAAGCCAAAGTAAGGTACCATCTGTAGCAAAGACTAGATTTAGATTAACTGGTAAGTAGAGACAACTCTTCAAAGATCATTACTGTAAACTGCAAATCTACTTCCAAGTCTCTCACACACCGTTCAGTCCACACAGGCCACGTTCGTTTCGCTGGAAAGACTTCAGCCTGGAAACACTAGGAAAAGAAAAGTTCCTTTAATTGGGTCTTTATAGGAGGAAAGGGTTAGTTGTATTTGCAGCCTGGGAGGCTGCAGGTGGCATTCCTGTACTGTGCAGAGCTTGGGGCATTGATCCTGCAATGCTCAGCCCCTGGCCCATCCTGATGGTGCCCATGGCCGGCAGCGGTGCCATCCCCACGGGCACGGGGGCCATGGAAGACAGAGGTATTGGCTCCATGCTCATTGGGGGCACGGTGCTGAAGGAGGGGCTGCTCCCCATCACAGGGCTTGCTCTCATCTGGTTCAGGGTCAGTGGCTGAGGCTGGTTCACCTGGAAGGGGTTGATTGGAGTCGCTGTGGTAGCGGCGCCTGCGTTGGGAGAGAAGGGAGACAGAGAGGCACTGCCATCAACAGAGGGGCTGGAATCATCTTTGCTGGCAAAGAACACTCCCTGTGTGCATCCCCATCCTCAAAATGCCCTGTGGAGGGTGTTTTAGGGGAGAATTATGGATGTGTTAATTTTATTTTATTTTTTATGAGATATTTAACTCTTTACTTTTTGGCTATTTTGGGCTACTAACGTTTTAAAAATCAAAAAAGGGAAGAAAAAAGCACTTTCAATGTTTGCAAAGTGAGAAAAAGAAGGAGAAGAGGGGGAAATGGAGAAATGGGTCTGCCCCCCAGCAAAGCAGAGTCTGTTCCCTTGAAGCAGCCAATGCCTCCAACACCCCTTCACTGACCAACAGCTCCCACTTCCACAGCCCTGACTGGAGTCAGAGCTTCCAAATTTGGTGACCTGCAAAAGCCCAAACCACGACATCCACATCACTGATGCAATTTCTTTAAATGCTACTTTGCAGGCTCTCTGTGCTCCTTTACTGCAGAGAATGAGTTTACATCTGACACTGGGAAGAAATCCCAGTATCCCTGGCACAGATTCCCAGAGAAGCTGTGGCTGTTCTTGGATCCCTGAAGTGTCCAAGGCCAGGCTGGATGGGGCTTGGAGCAATCTGGGACAGTGAAAGGTGTCCCTGGACATGGCAGGGATGGTTTTTAAGGTGATTTTGTGTGATTTGTACATTTGCTCCAAGCTCCCAGCAGCCACCTCCATTTTCATGTTTCTGGCTCCGAGCTCGGACAAGAATTCCCAAAGTAAACAACTCATTTCCGAATTACAGCGGTGCTCGAAAAAGCAGAGCACAACTTTCCCAGCCTTTGAGGTTCCCTGGATTGCTGCCAGCCTTGCAAATTCCTTTTACTGCACAAGCCCAGGATTATTTGGATGGCCCAGTGACCCCTCACAAACTTTTTGTAGTACCCGGGAAGGGCAGATACACAGATTTCCTCTCTCTCCCCCTGCTCACTGCCAAGGCTGCTCAGAATCACTGCTTTTTTCCTACTCAAGGATTTTAATAAATTCACTTTTTCTTCCATTGGAAGAGTGATGAAAATAAATACTGAAAGAGCATTTCCAAGTGTTTCACCCTATGGGCAACACAGGAAAACATCAGTGCAAATTCAGCTTTTAAAAAACACATCTGCCACATGTTTGGTGTCACCACTTCAGTCTGCTCCAAGCAAGGGCTCACTTCTAACAGGCACAGCTTGCAGGACAACTGCAACAACCCTTTTTTTTTTTTTTCCAAAATACACTGAGAATGTGTTTTCAGATCAAAACTGGCTCACTGTGCCAGCCTAAGACAGACTAACCAGCAGCTCAATGAATTACCCTGCAGAGTTTGCTCTCTGGGACCTCAGGCTGCAGTCAGAGATCTCCTGTGCCTGCTGCAGCTCCAGCAAAAAAATTCCAACTTTTTTCCACAGGAATCTCCTACCTGTCACCTTCCCAAGGCACTCTTACCTCTTTTGACAAAATCCAGCTGAAGTTCACCCAGTCTGAGCAACTCCAAACCTTCTAACTCAGCTAATTCTGAGAGAGGGGAACTGCTGGAATAATGTTCAGCTGCAGAGCAAGAGCAGAGCCCTTGTGTTTTCAGGGACTGTCACTGTGCTGGGTGAGCCCAGGATGCCTCCCTGAGACCCTCCTGCTCTTGCTCATGATCTGTTGGCTGAAGTAACCAAGAAAACCAAGCCCAGATCACCCATCTTGAACCCCAACAGCAATGAGCTGTGCAGAGTTTTCCTGCAGGAAGGGAAAGCTCAAACAGAAACGTGATGGATTGTGCAGAAACCAACCTGGTGCCAAGAATGGGTTCAGAGAAGTAACAGGCTGTGGTGGCTTAGACACCAGAGAATCCAGGTTCACCAGGGCAGCGTTGGGGCCCAGGAAGGACTCTGGGGTTTTCCTGGCCGTGCTTTGTTTGCCTGATGTCCCACTCGAGTGCTGGGACTCAAAGAGATCAGGACTCGTGGTACCGCTGTGCTGAGATGGCAGAGTGGAACCTGATTCAGCTGCAACAACACAAAGGGACACACAAAACTCCTGTTAATGCACAGAGCCAGGCACAGAGGAGCCTGCAGTGTGTGAGAGCAGAAGTGCAAAGTTTGTGTTAGTCAGGGCTCAGTGTTTCAGGCTGTTACACCCTCTCAGCATGCAAGCAGGTCAATGTTCTTTAGCAGAGCATGAAGAGGCTACAGTCAGAGTTGCAGTGCTCTACTGATGGAATTCCCACAGCTTTGCTGCTCCAGGTGGGACTCTCAGGCTCCAAGGAACAGAGACTCCAAAGCCTTGGCCCTACACCACTGCTGTGCCCTTCCTAGCTGGATTCCACCCAGGGTTTTCTTCTCAAAAAGCCCAGCTTTGCTTCAGGCAGAACCATCCTGAGAGCAATGGTGCCACAGCAGCCACAGGGTCAGGCAGTTTTGATTTACTGACCACTGATTAGAGGAAAAATTAATTAGAGTATTCATAGAAGGTATTTTCTCATCTTCCTACTGGAATTTACACATTTGAGAGATTCAGTCAGCATGGTTCTGGTTGAGTCTCTGAGCATAAGCCCTGCTCCAAATGTGCTGGACACTGGAAATTAAGAAGTCCAACAAATTTCTGGGTCAATGCAGCAAAAGGTCACAGGGTGCAATTCCATGGATTACAAAAGGCCCATTCCCCACGAGTTCATGCACAGGCCAAAATGTGAACAAGGAGCTTTTACTGCTGCATCATCATTTCCTTCCCTTTGTGAAAACTGATTTTTTTGTCCAATAAAATTGAAGAACAGAGACATTTGTTGCTGTGACTGTCACCCAACCTGTTCACATGCTAAGGATTTGATTCGTACCTGGCTTTTTGGAAGTTCGAAGTGTGTCAAATTCAGAAAAATCATCTTTAACTGTACCATTCAAATTACTGAAGAGGTCAAAAGATGTACTTCCTGTTCAAAACAACAAGACAGCCCTGTCATTAACACATCTTGGGTTGCATCACACAGCTGATCCTCCTGGAAGCAATTCCTAACCCATTCCTGTCACCAAGAAGCCACCACAGGCTCCAGGGCAGCAGTTGGGGGTGCTCCCACTCTGAGCCAGGAGCTGGGAGAAGGAGAATGTCACAGAATTGTCCTTTTTGACAATGGAACAACTGAATCAGAGCAATTTGCTTTTGGATCAGTGTAGGGCACACCTGAGCATGCTGGGGTTTGGTTGATTGAGTGTCTGCATTAGAGACAAGCAGATCTTGCTGTGGAAGGAGAGAACAGAAATGGATTTACAGCCTCAACTATCAAGTGTTAATCAAGGAAAACACCACCAGTGATGATTTCACTTCTGCTTCCCAAGTGGAAAGGAGGAGGAATGCCAGAGCAGAGGTTGTGCAGATGGTAAAGCCCCGTTAGCTGAAGCACCAGCACTCGCAGTCAATGAAACATCACCACTTCAAAACGTGGACACAACTCTTACCTCAAATTGGAGGCAGAAAAACCACACCTAAATGATCAGCAATCACAGCCCTGAACAGCTTTAAGGTTTGTGTGGCTATTTTTAATTACCTGAAATGTTTTCTTAATTTACTTTTAACCTTCAACACGTTTCAAGCAAGAAGAGCACAAGGTGACAAACCCCAAGAGAAAGGGTGAAAATTGAATATAAAAACAATATTTATCAAGAACAAAGAGCCACCATAGCTAAAGGCTCGTTTCACAGTGCTCCACTTATTGCCCTTTGCCCAGGGAAAAGCTGCTTAGACAACTTTTTGCAGCACTCAGATTCCTTTGTCTGCTGTGTACAGGATGAATGACGAGCAGAAAATGCATTCTGGATGCTTTTAGTAACGGTGCCAATATGAAAATTCCAGGTATTAATACTCATCAAGGTTGCATTAGTTACAGAGCATGAACAGATAATTACAGCAGCACCTTTAGCAGGGCTCAGGGAAGGTTTCACACCCTCAGTCTGAAGGAACAAACCTTCATTTGCACCTCTAAAAGTCTCCTCCGAGCTGCTCAACCTGTCAATCTACATCTGCAGAGAACATCTATCTGCAGAGCTATTTATCATGAGGGAAGGTGAAATTAGAGTATCATTCATTGCCAGAAATCAAGTCCTTGTCTAATTAAAGATAAAACTCAAGAACAGCAGCAATCCCTAGTGCTCAGCAGGCAGCCACAAATACCAGGAGGAGCCCTAGAAGGGACAGAGCACAAAGCAACACCAGGAATTCAGAGCTTTAAGTCCCAATAATTACATTTAAATTTCTTTTCCCTTTTATTTTGAAGACCAGTTCTGCCAATTGTTCAGCTTCTTTGAACCACACAATGCAAGAAAATAATTTGGACTTCTCCTCATTACTCAAATAAGATGGATATGGGGATGAGACCGTTGCTCACCAGAAGTAGAGAGAGGTTTGTTTGCAGGTGCTGATCCCCAAGGATCCACAGAAGATTTTGCTGCAGTAGAAGATGGCTGAGCAGGAGCCCAAGGATCCACATTTTTGGCCAGAGGCTGAGCTGTGGATCCTGCTGGTGCTGCCCAGGGGTCAACAGAAGCAGCTGGTTTGGCACCTGCAAGAAGAAGCAGCAGGAAGAGAAGTGAGTGCAGCTTCCCTTTGGAAAGTTTTCCTTGGAGATTGACCCCTCCCAGGAGCCTTCACTCCCAATTAATGCTGAGCAGAAATGGCAGCAGCAGCTCAGCACTCCCAGCATTTGTCACACACTCTGAACAACAACAGCACCAGGAAATTCTGGGCAAGGCAGAGGAAAAAACAATTCCCCTCTCTGAACCTGGATACAAATACCTGCAGTTCCAACAGGAAAATAAACTTGCCTTTGTTCCTGACATTGCCACCACAAGTGACAATCCCTGGCTGGAGGTGACCTAAATCACAGGGTCTATTTATGAACTGGGGGAAAGTGAGTTTATAAAAAGCCCAAAGGTAAAAGGTGTGAGATGCACAACATTAACCCTTGGACAAAGGAATCTGTAAGTTTCAAAGGGAATGTTTTCCAACTCTTTTAACCACACTGCTGTTTTATAAAAATATAATCAGCTTCCCTGAGCCAAATGTGCTTTTTTATTCCCATTTCTAAGCACTCCTCACACACATCTAAGCTGCCCACTGATAACTCTTTTTTTTTTTTTACCCAATGCCTGTATGTTCAAAGTTCTTGTTTTTACTGGAAAATGCTGACAACTCTTCGTTCCTACAAATTCAATCACCAAAAGTTTAATTCCCAAATGAGGATTTTATAACCCAAGAGAGCAGGATGGAATCACCCACATGCAACAACTCCTACCTTTAATATCCTGTGGGTTTCAAGTTACAACTGAGAATTATTTTAGCTTTTAAAACTCCATTCAACCCCCCCCCCCCGGCATCCCAATATTCCTTTTAATCAACTGAATGCTGCACACAGTGGCACAAATTCCAGCTGGAATTTTGGGTTTTGTTTCATCAGCAGCCACGTGGTCGCTACAGCTCCGGAGCAGGAAATGCCAAAACTCTCCAAGGAAGCTCCATTATTCCCACACCAGTTCTTCCATTTCCTTTATCTGCCCCCAGTGCTGAGTTAGGAGCAAGGCCACACTCGTGACAGCATTTCCCATCAACAGCAGTTTCCTAAAATGTTCATTTTTTCCTAAAGGGAGCACCCGAAATGAGAGCTCAGGGGAAAATCCCATCCTGGAGCTTCCATCAGCTCCACTGAAACACCACAGCACTGGCAGGATTTGGGAAATGCAGTTTCATGAGTCATTTTTTTACCAGCAAATTCATAAATTTGTATCTTTGAGACTATCCCTGAGAGAATCCAGCAGGCTTGTGCTGTGCTGGAAGAAAGTTGGGAAGCACAGAGGAAATGCTATGGCTGGAACTGGTACAAGGAAAATCCTGTCAGAGGGTGACACATCAGGCAGGAGATTTGAGAAAGGTGGATTTTGGTTGCTTTAAGCCATGGAAAAATAAACTGAATGGCCTTAGGGCCCAAAATTTGGGCTTTTTCTCAGCTCTTATTACAAAAAAAAATTACAGGTGGCACTTGGAATGATGACCTGGCAGTTGGCCCAGGAGCTTTGTAGGTGCCTTTAATGCCATCATGAGCAGGGGGAAAAACCCCAAACAAGGCATTTCATTATTAAACTTCTAATTTTTCATAAGGAATCTGATGGTGAGAATCTGTGTGGAATGCAAATGACACTGAAGCACTTAAGAGCAGAGTTTGTAGAATCACCAAAGCAGAACTGACAGAACAAAGCAGTCAATCCTCATGGAAAAGCTTCTGTTTGCACAGAAACTCCCTGCACTTTGAAAAGGTCAAAAATTCCAATAAAAAATGGATCCAGTTCCAAGTGGAACACTGTGAGGAACCATCCACTTCCTTATCAAAGGAGAAACTCTTTGGACAGGCTGTGGCTGACCCAGACACACCACACAAAAAAAAAAAAACCCACAAAATTTTGGCTTAGTTTTCTATGTGAAACATTCCATCTTTCCAGTCAGAAATATTTCATGGATTTAGCATTGAAATCCTATGGAACAGTAAATATTTTAAATGGTAACCTGAATTTTTTTATCTGCTATAAAAATCTTTATTTAAGTAATTTAATCCTTTTGGTTCTGACCATACACAAGCACATCACAATTCTCTAGGAGCAGTTAAGGATGTGATAATTCAGACTGATGGCCTTCCTAAGCTCAGCACCCTGCCTAAATATCAGATTAAATTCTGGGAATAGTCTAAACCCATGGCAATGGACACAACCAGCAGGGAGACAGAGTTGGATAAGTTTTGCTGTAAAGACAACAGAAGTGTCACTCTCCTCTTCCTTAGGACTCAAACTGCACCCACAAAAACCCAACTGCTTAAAAAAATTTATTATTAAATTTATTACTAAATCGGTTTCTGCTTGAGTGGAACGAATGAAAATGGACTCATACACAAACTGCACATCGAGGAACTTTGAAATGCTCAAAGTTAAGAAGCAAAACCTTTCAAACCCCGTTGCTCCTGGCACTCTGCTCTTACCAAATGATTGCCAGGGGTCAGAGGCAGGGGCTGCAGCTGTGGATCCTCCCCAGGGATCCGGCTGGGTGGCAGCAGCAGCAGCAGCAGCAGCAGGAGGTCCCCAGGGCTCGCTTTTGGGTGGGGCCGGTGCCGAGGAGGGCAGGGCATCCATCAGGTCCAACAGAGTGGTGTGCTGAGGGCAGGAAAAAGCTGAGCTTTACTCAGGTTGAAGTACAAACCCATGAGAGTGAAGAAGCAATTCTTATTAATTTTTTTTTTATTTTTTTTTTTTCCTTTTACACGCCTGCATTGACTAACTCCAAATTTACCCCGCGTGGAAGAAGCTTTAAGCTACACAACAAAGCAAACCCAAAAGCATAAAAGAGCTCAGTATTAAGCTAAGTTTGTGTTACTGTATTTCAGCTTTTGGCAGCATAACCGGGAATTTCTTAGGCGAAGGCACTACCTCCTTCTTTTTGGGAATTTTAATTGTGTCTCTGCGACTCTCCTCCAGAGCCATCTGTAATCTCAGATCATCTCCGCGTCTGAGGCGCTCCTCCTGCAAAGGAAATCAACACTGGTGATATAAACCATGAGCCTGCTCTGAGCTGCTGCTCCCTGCAGGGCTCCAACCCTCGCACCCTGTGCTCCACAGGGGGATGGGGTTTAGGGCTGGAATTGCCACGGAGCACAAATGAGGGAAATGATTTTTCCTGTCATTTCTTGCCTCAGGAGCACCCCGAGCCTGTGGTCAGATTTGCTGGGTGGAATTTACCCTGGCGGTGTTTTATTCTTTCCAAAATTCAAGCGAACAACCCGTTTTTCAGCATTCAAATCACTACTGAGGGTTGTAGGGAGCTAAACTTAAATTTTCCTGGCTTTTGTTCACTTCCCTCCACGCTGGTGCAGGATCCACCAAGGGAATCAAGTCTTGCCAACTCCATGTGTAATTTCAAGGTTTAAACATCTGTAACTACAATGTTTATGCCACATTCAACTCCTTTAAACATCTTTGTTTGCATCATGTCTCTCAGAAGTTGACTAATCCCCCAGCTTGTCATTTTTGAAGCTACTTCAAATGCTTAGACTCTGATTTATATTTTTGTTCCTTTTATTGCCCAATAATGATGAAATTTACTGGGTGATAGTTTCCCTTTGCAAGCACTCATGCTTAACATACAGCTGTAAACTAAATTGTCACAGGAAGCCTCTAAAATATTACAGGCACTCAGCATGGTTGAATTGAATTTTCACTCAGAGCTGAGATTTGGCTTTGTTATATATTAAAATGCAGTCATTTTATCCAAATTTACTCCAAATTCAGATTGAAGCTCCTAAGCATTAGCACAGTAACATAACCCAGGTGACTTAAATCAAGTTTTTTTTAATATATTCTGGTACTTTGTGTCAGGTCACCCTCCTGTTCCAGAAACTCCCACCAAACGAACAGATCGTTCCAAATTCCACAGGAATCACAATCCACTGACATTAATGAAGCTTTTCAGGACCAGTCATGTTTTCAGCTCTTCCTAACTGAAAAAACATCTTCAGTAATGTGATGATTAACATCCTCCCACACAAAGTCTTCTCACAAAGTGACTGTCATCTTCCACTAGTCTCAACAGCTCGGAGGCTGAAGTTACTTTAAAAAGAGATTGAAAGAATAAAAATAATAATAAAAAAAAAAAAAAAAAAGAAACCAAAAAAAACCCACACACACACCTGCAGCAAAGCCAAGCTGCCACTGAAAATAATAATTAAATAATAATTAAAAATGTGAACTCTCCAAGCATGGACAAACTTTGGAAAACCTACACGGGCACCGACCTGCTCCGCCACCTCCCGGCTCATGGCCAGCGCCAGCTGCAGCTGCAGCTCCTCCTCCCCACTCGTCTGGGGCCGTGCCTGCTCCAGCTCCGAGGACACTCGAGGGGATGTTGCTGTTGGGAGATAAAAAAACAGCACCTTCAGCACAGCAAAGAGCAAAAAAATTTAAAAAATGGTCAGGTTTGCTTCTTGCGTTTCGTTTTTACGTGTTCGGTCTCAAAGCTCCCTCGCGGTCAAGAGATGAAGCTCCTGCCAAGGGTGAGGATAATTTAATTCCCATTCCATTTCATCCCAATTCACCTCATTTCATCCCATCCCATCCCATCCCATCTTCCCAAACCCTCCTGGGAGCACAAGGACAGACACAACCCATAATAACACCAGGACGTGTGATAGTTCAGCCGCTTTAAGGGAAAATATTCCTGGAAAACAGAAGGATTTTTTTTATGGGGTTGTGATATCAAGAAGTACCCCCAGCTCATGCTGGATATACCCTGAGTGTATCAGAGCTCCTGATTTTAAAATGTACAGAATTTATTGTTGGATGAAACATTGGTGGGTATTTCTTTACATCTTCCAGTGTCAGTAAAGATCTGCTGGGATTGGGCCAATATCAGGGTAAAATTGGATACCACCCACTTTTCTGTAAAATAATACAGTCTTAATGGGAAGATAAAGAACTATTCTTAACTGCTGAGCAGGCGTGGGGATAAACAAACCAGCTATTCAGACTCCAAATTTACACAAATACAGGATCATTCTCTGCTAAAGAAGAGTTTGGTAAATGGCTTGGGGGTGTGGGTTGGTCTCCGGGACTGGTTGGGGTTTTTGGGGGGTATTTCCTCCCCTCCTCTTCAAGGAAGAGTAAATCTTGACAGCTAAAATATTCAATTTCTCAACACAGAAACCATCTTTTAATGTTTTCACTCCAGGAACATGTGAAATTCCCATCCTACACCACTAGCAGGTTTAGAACTCCACAATAATTCAATAATTTCGTGCTCACTCTCTCAGACAATTCTTTAGCATCCAAATCATTCACACAGGAATTTTATCTCATTTTTGCTAGGAAGTTTGTATTTAGTGGCTGGAATGATGATTAGTTTGGCACAATATATCCTGACATTTAATACATTTAATTGAATGTTTTCAACCAGCGTGTCAAGCTCCAAGAAATCAAGTTTCTTCCTACCAGGTCAGCTGGGCATGTGAAAACGAGAATGCCAAACTCACTTTGAAAACCCCTTTTTCATCACTATTTTAATCCTCCAAACATTTCCTGGTCTTGTCTCTCCCTCCTTAAGTTTCAGGCCAAAATGACATCACAAAACAAATGGAATTTTCTCATCCCCCCAAGAAAAAAGGACTCTCCATAAACAAGGAATGACCTTTCCTCCTTCCCACCACACCCCGAGGTGCCATCCCACCCCTTCTGCCTCTAAAGCACATTAATTTAAATTAATTTATCAGCCACAACGATTCTTCCACCTTGTGCTGATCCTGAAGCTCTCAAGCCAACCTTACTTCAATTAAGATGCTACTCATAGCTCAATTCTATTACTTTTTCAAACTTTCTCATATAAAATAATTAAATTTAGCCTGGTTGATGAGTACTTACTGCTCCAACAGTCACTGCCAGGCTCTCCAATATATTATATTAAAAATATGATGATTAAAGCATGTGATAATTCCCAGCCACTCACCTAATACAGATAATAAATTAGCACTAATTCTAATCATTCTAATCCAAAATGGATGATTTTAAACCAGGATGGAGGTGGAAACACTTCCCTCAGGAGCCCAGAGAATGTTTTCTGTTTATCTTTGCCAGAAGAATATTGAGCAGTTTATGGCTGTTAAACACCTCGGGCTTGCAAACACCAGAGAGAAAAAAAAATTCAAATAAAGGGGAAAGAATTCATGGTGTAAAAACTGGCCATGAATAGATTTGAGATGCAGATGGAGAAGAGCAGGGATTAGAGAAGGAAAGAGTCCTAAACTGGTTTAAAATCAGAGCCTGGGACAAATGGGACAGCAGCAGAGTCACCTGAGAACAGATGGCACCTGGGCTAGGAGCAGGGAGCAACCTTCTGCTCTGCTGGGCTGTAAACTGGGGGGGAAATGGGATTTCCTGCATCCCTGCATCCCAGCTTTTCCATCTCTGCATCTCCTGCACCCCAGCTTCTCCATCCCTGCATTTCCTGCATCCCTGCAGCTCCTGCATCCCAGCTTTTTCCATCCCTGCATTTCTTGCACCCCAGCTTTTTCACCTCTGCTTACACCACTGCATCCCTGCATTTCTTGCATCCCAGCTTTTCCATCCCTGCATCTCCTGCATCCCAGCTTTTCCATCTCTGCTCACACCACTGCATCCCACAACCACCAAGAACCTGATGGCAGAACGCCATTAAAATTAAAGTGATGCAAAATGGGTTCAACTCCATTGCTCTTCCTCCCCATTTCCACACAAAGGACTCGCTGAATGCACTGCTCGATGCATTCCTGCCTGGAAAAGCTGCAAAAAGCAGGGATTGCATCCCATTCTGAGCCTTTTCCTTCCCAGCTGAGCATGGGAAGGGCGGGCTTGGCTTTGGCAGGGAGCTCCACGAGCTCCAGGATCCCCACATGGATAACACGGGCTCACACACACACACACACACACACACACATTATTCCTTCTCATTTTTTAGGTTTTCCAGCAATTCATTCTATTTGCTTTCATTAACTCTAAAAGGTATTTCCAGAGGAAAATGTCCATTTGAAGTTCTTGGGCCTCAATAAAAAAAACCAACTATAGGAATGTTGCTGTTTTCCATGTAAGCCTCTGCAGTGTTATAAAACCATCCACATTAAAGAGCTGCCAACACTTTTTTTTTTTTTTTTTTTTTTTTTTTTTTTTTTTTTTTTTTTTTAAGGATTAAGGGAAATTCAAAACACTGTTCTTGGGAGTAACCTGACAAGTTTTATCTGAGATTCCCTTCCATATGAGCCTCATCCTGCTCTAAGGTCAGAATTCCCAAGATCCAGCAGAAAGGTTATGGCTTTAGGAACAGGATGGTGCCACACAAAGCATCCCTTATCCCCCAGCACATGACAATTAACTCAGATGTTTATGTAAGATGGGACTCAACAGATCAATTCTGACCTGCTAAGCCCTGCTCTGCTGGGAATTTTGGAGATCCCAGTCCCTCCAGGCTGCCCAGGAGCAAATTTCAGGGAATCTGTTCCTGCAGGGAGCAGGGGGCTGGCTGCTCAAGGAAATGATCTGGAGGCTGAGTTAATCACTAAAGCAGGATTCTGCTGCACCATCTGTGCCTGGCCAGGCCAGCTCCCAGACACAGCTATTGATAATTTCCTATATTTTGGCTCTATTAAAAGGACTCTGTAGCTGGTTATAGATCTGGCTGAGTTAAAGTGAAATACAGGACACAGAGAGCAGAGCCTGCATTAATAATAAAAATCAGAATGTATTTTCATTCAGAATCCTGTGCTTGGGTTTTGGGGCTGGTTATTATTTCTGGGGTTTTTCTTTTGGGACTGGTTTTGTTGTTTCTAGGGTTTATCTTTAGTGTCAGGCTTTCTAATTTGCAGGTGGAATTCTGAAGAACAGAATTCAGCTCTCAGTCACATTTGTTCAGAAGGAAAAGCTGCTTCCTCAGTCAGTGAAGCTACAAAGGTGGGCAAATTGAAAAATTTAAATAATATCTAGGTAAGGACTCAGAAACCAACAGCAATTCACTTGGGAAGCAGGCAGAGATCCCACCTGTCAGTCTTCCAGGGAAAGACCACTCAAATAAAGATGGGAAAATTTTAAACAGCCAAATGATGGAAATGCAAGTGCAAGCTGCTTAATCTAGAAGGAATTGTGCAATCCACCTTTCCCCTGGGAACGCAGGAATCTTTCAGGTGCAAGAAGAGAGTTGATAACACTGATGAATGTGACAAGGTGGAGCTGCTCAGCCTTCCTGCAGGATTCTGATTGCACTGAGCAGACTGAGAGCTTCTGAAATTCATTTAACACTCAACAAATCCTTCAGGTTTGTTTTGTTGAGAGCATTTTCCTCTCAGGTGATCCCTAAGCCGTGGGAATGGACACAGTTGGAGAATTCAGTGTCACTACAAAGTCTGCATACACCAGTGGCACCTCCCACCTTCACTCTCAGCACCAGAAAAAAATAAATGTACGAGATGAGAGGATTTAATCAAGCTGTCAAATGACATCTGACAGGAGTCTGCCACATTCCTTCAACACCTCAAACTATGGGAATTCTCCACACTGTTCAGCCAGACTCACTGCTGGGTGATATTCTCTATATTCCCTGACTAGGATGGAAGGGCAGGGACGTGTTCCAACCTTTATTACTAAAGAAATAATTATTAAATAAAAACCAAACCCTTTAAAAACAGGAGAGCTCTGAATGGAGCAGGGTGCCCAGAAAAGCTGTGGCTGCCACATCCCTGGAATGTTGAAGGCTGGAGGAACCTGGGATAGTGGAAAGTGTCCCACAGCAGGGAGTTGGGACAAGATGAGCTTCAAGGTCCCTTCCAACCCAAACCATTCTGGATTTCATAAATTTCCTATTGTGTCAAACCCAAAACAACAATTCCTCTGAATTATTTTCTACTCCAAGCAAAAGGGGAGACAAAACTGAAACAGATGAGTGAACACAAACTTGCTGAGGCTTCACAAAACTTGTTCTAAATAATGAGGCAACTTAACATGAATAATCATTGGAAATATTAAACTCATTAATTCAGCTACAGCAAATCGCTCCCAGAATTTTTCCAGGTTCAGGTTCAAGACTTGGCATTTCCCAAGATCCAAAAAAGCCCTTCCCAGTGCACTGAGCTGTGATTGTGTCACTGAAATCAGGGCATCAATCCCACCCCATCCCATCCCACCTATCCCATTCATCCCAATTCATCTATTCTATCCCATCCCATCCAATCCCATCCCATCTATCCCATCCCACCTCATCTATTCTACCCCATCCCATCCCATCCCTGTTCCCAAACCCTCCAGGAACACAGGGAAAAAGGGAAAGATGTAGACACAACCCAAAATCACACCAGGATGTCCCAGTTTGGGCACAATAGGATTGGATCTCCTAAAAAGCATGGCCTCAGTAAACTCGGTTTTAAAACATCACCAGCGTTTGCCAGGCTGGGAGCAGCATCCCAGCTCAGGCTTAAGAGGTCTAAAATAAGAACATCCTACTTTTCTCCATGCAGCCATAAATCCAGAATCCTATTTAAGTGGTCACTGGCAGCTGGAGATGAAACAAGGCCAGGAACAAGAGGCTGAAGTTTTTGAAACTAGGTGACAAATGTCAGACAAAAACCCAATTATTTAGACCCAGAAGCAGATTAGGAGTGAGGAACTATTGCTTCAAAAGATTTTAAATATCTATCTTCTATCCCTTCCTCTCCTCAGCTGGTTTAATTTCAGCACCACAATAAAAGATTTCCTTAAGGTGAAATAAAACCTGATATCAGATTTGATGCAACTCTACAGAATTGGCACATTTTCCAAAATAAATAAAAACTATGCATTTTGTCAGGGAATATTTAACAGCTCCTAATCTGAGCATTAATTGTTTAAAGAAAGAAGATAAAGCCAATTGCTCTGAGTATGTCAGAAATTGCTGGAAAGACAGAGCTTGGGAGGAGCTTTATTTTTGCTTTTGAGTATCTCTCTTGGCTTCCATTTTCAGGTTATGAGATTGGGTAGAAGAAAAAATCCCACAAATACTTTTTACAACTTACATGCCATAATGTGCTCCCTGGAATTATCCAAGCACTGAGATTTTCAGGGCCAACAAAATCATTAAAGGCAAAGCTTTGGGGGAAAGGATTTTATTAAAAACGATCAAGTTGCACCATTTCATTTTGCACAGTTTCTAAAGGATTTTTAGAGATGAAATGAAAATATTTTCAAGGAAACAGGGAAAAATATCCTTATTTGCCTGCAGCAGTAAGGGATGATTGGACATCAATCTTGAATTCTCTCACACTGCACAGGGTATCAATATTGCTTTTATTTTGTTACAAAGGATGAATCTGGGACACAAAAACCAGCAATGCTTTAAGAAAAACCCTTGTGACTCAACATTGAGCAAAAAATCCAATTGTTCCCATGCAAACCTACACAGGTTGGGAAGCTGGAGGAGGAGTTTGAGCAGAGCTCAGTCACTGCTGGCTGTGCAGTGCAGATGATTCAACATTCTCAACAAACTGACCCCTAAAAAAGGCTTCACTGATTTAACCAAAATTGCATTTTTAGTTTCTGGAAGGAGAGGGCAGAGATCCCCCACACCCAATCCAGTATCCACTGGAAGTTACTGGTGAGCTGTCCTGCAGCAACTACCAAACCCTTGCAGCTCTTTCTTCTGCAAGAAAACACTAAAAATGAGATTTTCTAACCCGACATAAATTCTTCAAGCAAGGGGAATGAATTCTGTAACCCCCACCCATCGTGCCTGAAAGGACCAGGAGTGAAAGGTGCTGAGAGCAAACCACTGAGGGATGAAATATTTCCTGTGGTGGAGTTGGCAAAAAAAAAATGGCTCTGCCACTCTCCCAAACTTTATTTCTATTTTCTTGGTAAGCAGATGTGCTGAACATTTAGCAAAGAGGGTGGCTGGATATTTTGGAGAGGCAAATCTCATGCTGTAAGATGGCAAATCTGAATGTCTCTGATCTCTTCTTCAAAGGCTCAGAGGAATGAAAGAGAATTCTGCCAGAATATACAGAGCAGCACCAGCATCTTAGGGATGTTCTAAGGGGAGCATTTCCCAGGAGTGAAGCAGAATTTCATTCCTTTTACAGATTTTTTTTTTTCCTGAATCCAGATTTTCAGCACAAAGGAAGGGTATAATTAAAAAAAAAAAGAAAAAAAAGAACACACGATGGATAAAATCTCTTTCACTTTAAATAATGAAAAGCATCTTTTCCATCAAATTTAGCTGGCACAGGAATAACCCCACATTTATGTAACAGATTAAATGTCTGGATTTTAATAAAACTCCTTCCTTGTTTCCTGGGATAAAGCTCTTCCCAGTTTCCCAATATCAGAAGGACTTAGCACAGCTGTTCTGGAAGGTGCTGGATTGCTTTGCTCCACTCAATTAAACCAGACAAAAAACACATTAAAACCTCAAAATAGACAAAGTGACAGCCACCTGGATTTTTGCTGATCCACAGTGAAAAAAAAAAAAAGTCCAGGAGAGCTGGAACAGAGGGGGAAGGAGGAGAAAAAAAAGCTTGAGATTTCTAAAGCTTCTTAGGGAGTGAGGGGAAAAAAAAAAAAAAAAAGAAAAGCTTAAAGAATCTTTACCTCCAAAGCAATCCTGCCACAGGACACACAGAGGGAAATGGGAGCAGCAAATCCACACTTGGAATATTGAGGGAACAGCCAAATTCTGCTGCTTCTGCCATCAAAATTCCTAAAACATCCCAGGAACAATTGAGGAACACGCCCTGCATTGCTCAGCCCTGCTGGGAGGAACAGTTTGGAGCCTCTGGTGGCATTTAAGATTCCAAACAATAATTCCAGGCATTAATTAAAGTTGGGACTGGTGGAGCAATAACCCTGTGAAACCCAAGGTGTGCTCAGCATCTCTCAGTCACTTATTTCAGCCCACCAGCACAAGTTAAAATCAATATTTCAAGCTACCTCTAAATTAAGAGTTTTTGTTGTAGTCAACAACAATCTAGAGAATTGAATAGGAAAAATGTTATTGAGGTAACAATATATGAGTTTTTCTTTAAAAATTCGCAGTGCTCAAGCATGGTTACTCTAGAAAAACTATATAAATATAGAAAAATTCTTCTTACAGACAAATTAAGATGTTTGTTACCCTACTGCTTAATTAAAAGTCAAGATCAAAAATTCTCATAGCTGGAAACCTTCACTCACATTTTTTGTACCCTCTATCCTAAAAATACTTCCTTTTGAAAAGAATTTTTTCTGCTTGTCTCCAGAGTTTTAAATAGAGATTTTCTCCATCCTGGTTTGATTTTCCTGCTATCTCCTCCTGCAAATGTCAGCAGGGCTGACCCCACTCACGGATTTCTGATTTAAGAAGCACTTTGGGAGCCAGGACATGACAAAGTTCAGGTTCCTAAAGCTGGTGCTCAATGGTTCCTGCAGCCTGCCTCAGTCACAGCCCTCCACACACTCTGAACATTCATTTAAAGAAAAGATTTTCCTTCAGAATTAGACCACAACCACTGACATTCCAGCCAAAGCAGCTTTCATCAGATCATTACTTACATTAAGGAGGATTTAGTGCCAAATCAGGATTCTTCCTGACATGACAGGGAGTCCCACCAAGCAGTGGTGGAAAGAATTTGTTCTTCCCACATCACTGTATTCATTTTTTAAGAATGAAGTATAGTATTTAGTAGAGACACTCACACACCAAATACTGAGAATATAAATATTTAAATACAGATCCAATGCACTCCTCCTCCAAGAACTGCTGAGTAAGCAATAAAGGAAATTAAACAGCAGCATTGTTGCCAAAGTACAATAAGAGCAGCATAAAGTAGCAAAATGATCCAGGAAATATTCTGTATTTCTTATTTATTCTCAATCCAAGAGCAGGGTGGATGGGATTTGAAACAGCCTGGGATAGTGGAAGGTGTCCCTGCCCACGGCACAGGGGTGGAATGAGATCAGCTTTAAATTCCCTCCCAACCCAAACCATCCTATGATTCCATCCTGAACAAAAAGAACACATCTTCAAGCACTCCTTTTAAAACCAGAAACGAACAGAAAAAGCCTTTCACACCCTCCCCATCACACCAAACACCGGGACAGGCTCACAAGAGCAGCCTGGCAGCTCCACCTTCGGAACTGACAGTAAACAAGGGCTTTTAAAATCGATTTCCATCACTACGCTCGTCCTCTCCAAAGCAAATATTTACCCAGGCATGTGCAGAGACATCAACAGCAGGGACATCCCCTTGCAGGCAGCACCTGCACTCTCCCAAAGGCACCATTGCCTCCCTCCAGCAGCTGCAGCAGCTCTCCAAAGCAAAGCTTCGGGATGTGTTTGCCTGTACTTACAGCCATGGTAGGACGCTGGGGATCCTCCAGACTTCCCATACTCCTGCTCTGAGTAGCTGGTGGACAGGTTGGGCTGGCTGGAGCCTCGGCCAAAGGTGATCTGGTTGCTGCCCACCCCAGTGGCCACCTGAGCCATGCGTTCTTTGGTCTTCAGGGCTTGGGCCCTCTCTGTCTTGAGGCGCTCGTCGTCCTTGAGCAGGGACACCAGCTGCTTGGATTTCTCCCTCACGTTGATGCCCTGGTCTTTCCCATCTCGATCGATGTACTGAAAATCTTTCAATGTCTGGATAGCAAAAATATTCTCTTTACACTGCTGGGCCACCCTCTCAGAGCCAGTTTTAATCAGGTAATCTAAGAGAGTGAGGGCCTTGTAGACGTGTCGCCAGTTCTTGCCGTGGTCATTCAGTCGTTTCCAGATCATGCTCATAATTTCAGAAAAGGCCACAACATTGTAGGTCAGATCTGCTATTTCAGTCATCAACGAACTGGAAGGACCCCAGGGGTCATTTGAGGTCGCTTCCCGAACTTTGATTTCGGCCTCTGAGTAATTGTTCACAATGTTCTTCATCTGCCGTCTGATAGACGAAGTCGTCATTTTTATTTCCCTTTTTACCAAGACAGATTCCAGAACACAAACAGCAAAGGGCTAAATTTGCTCTTCCAGGAACGTTTCTGAACTGTGAAGGCTCTGGAGCAGTGGCGTCTTTGTGACACGTTCCACTACAATCATTTCCTCTCCTCAAGAGAATGACACGAGAAAATAAAAATCATGACCTGAGTGAGGAAAGAAAACAAAGCAGGTTAGTGGGGTCTGATTGTTCAGCACAGCCACACACACACACTTGGAAGAAATTTTCCCTAGATTAATTTTTTTCTTCCTTGAATTTCTTCTGATTTTGAAAACAACTTGTTCTCCTCACGAGTCACATCAAACATTTCAGATTAAAAAAACCTGAAGTGCTGAGCAAAACAAAAGCAAGACAATCCCGCTGATACAAAGGCAACATTTTAAAAGCAAACCAGAAGCAAAGTCCAACCTGGAGACTTTGTTTCCAAAGAAAAATCTACCTAGAACTTTTAATTATAGAAATTACAGAGCTCAGATGAAACCACATGAGAAATTCCATGTTCAGCAGCCCTCTAACAGTAGGAATCTGCATCCAGAGAGAACGAGCAAACTTCCTAAAAATCAACCAAGCCATTTTTTAAACTCTGCAAAAGTTTAAAACCCTCTCAGTCTCAGGGCAGAGATCCTATGGCCCAACACACTCCAACTCAAGGTGACCTTTCACGATAAGCAGATTAGAAGGAATTTTTTTTTTCCCCTAAATGCATTTACTTTGTTCATTTGACAACGCTCAGCAGATCCACGCTTTCTGCTCTGTGTGTCTTTCACACAGCACCGAAGAATTTTCAATTCTATGAGAATGGAATTGTAAAGCCAAAATGATTGGCAAGAAAAGGCAAGGACAAGCTGTGGAGCTGGAAAGCTGTGTCAGTTCTTTAGTTAAGGTCACTGTTTCAAGTAAACAGAGGCCTATTAAGCTTTGGAATAAATTACTTGAGCAAACTGGCAAATTGGTCATTCCATGAACACAGAGCAGCCCTGAGAGCCACCAGTGGCACAAACACTGCAACTGGGCTGGCCACACTCAGAGATGTCCTTTAATAATGTTCCTCCAAGCACTCCCAAGAACCAACCCCATCCCCTAGAGAGCCACTGGAGACAAGGAAAGCACAGATTTCAAGCCTGACATTGTTATCATTCTTCAAATTACTACGGTGCCATTTGGAATGGAAGCAGAATTCAGTGTCAGCACAGGTTTGTAATGGCTTTTTTTTTAGCATAAAGACAAATTCCCTTCCTTAGAAAGCTTTCTGGGCAAGTTAAACTACCACAGAACACACCTAATGAGTTAATTTATTTGATCTTCTTCCACTAAAGTTGGTTTTTGGCAGAATAAAAACCTCTTATGACATGATGGAAGATTAAGTTTGAATGAGGCTGACATTAAACTTCAGGTAAACTGCATCCCCCCGGTGTTGTCCCCAATATTTAGAAGCAGCTGTAGGAGAGGAGGTGGCTAACAGCACCAGGAATAAAAAGGGGGAAATCTCCTGGGACATTTAAGTTGAAAATGTTGATCCTACACAAACATTCCATGGCTTCTCCTTCCCTCTGGAATTTTGCATTGCCCAGATCTGTTGGGGCTCACCTGCCCCTGTGATCCCTCTCTAATGCCTGACTTGTAAAAGGTGAGGAAACAATAAAAATTAAACAGGAAAAGCACAAGGTACATCTTACATAGGCTAAACCATTTATTTTTGTCAAGAATGGTTTAAGGCAAGTTCCTAGCAAAGCTGAAACCAGTTATGCAGGGGATGTGGAAGGTCCCACTGAACTGGGAGCAGGCTGCACCTGCAGCTGGAGGCAGCACAGGACCCCAGGGCCAGGGGAATCATGGACACAATCCTGATGATTATACAGATCCCAGAGCAGAGGAATCCAATCCCCCCCATAAAAACTGAGCTTTTTTTAACCAGAAAAGCAGTGAACACCATTAAAAAATCAAACCCAGGACAACTACAAAACCTTCTAAACCAGTTGGATAAAAAGCCCACCAAGCCTGACATCCTCAGACACAAATCCTTGTGCAAAAGAACTTTCCTATTCCCCTGTATTCTCAGCAGCTGGGACACCCTGGATGCCAGCATGGGCACACTGAGCTTCTCCCAAGCCCTCTGGAAGCCACCTGAGCTCCCTGTGTCACCCTCAGCAGGTGACAACCACAACCAGTGGCACAGTGACCACGTTCAACTAACAACTCCTTCAGGTTTCTGAGAAATAAAACATCACTTTGGGCTTCTTTATGTCCCTCGTGGCTTTATAGGAATTGTATAAATTCCTAATCCTTCTGAGCTCAGCTCTCCTGAAATTCAGGCTACTTAGAAGCTTCTCCATATCTCCATCATCCCTGTGGTCTTTCCATGCATGGATTACATTCCCATTTCTTGGGATACACACAATTCCCAGCATTCTGCTTTGCAGATTTGGCAGCAAGAATTTGTATCACAAACAAAAAAGTTTGTATCACAACACAATCATTTACTGCTTAGCACTTCCCATTTATCAAATACTTCCTAAAATTCCATGTGACTCTTGGGAGTTGTATTTCTACTGCACATTTCTCCTCCCTAAAGTGGCATTTCACCTGCTACTTTATCCCTCAGCAGGCCTCAATCTTTCATCATTGCTTTCAATTCAAGATTATTATCAAATTTGACTAATTTGCTTCAATTTGGCCACCTTATTATTTCGGGCCAATCTGCTGAAGGGAATATTTGCAAGAGCACTGATCTCTGGCAGGACACTTGGCTGGGAAGAGCCCTTCCCTGTGAGAACAATAATTTATTCCTAACCTCATTTCCTGTCTTTTAACCCACTGCAAATCTATGAAAAACATTCTTGCCTTATCAAAGTTTTATTTCTTTCAAGGCCAGGGATGAGAGGCCTTCCCAAAATCTTTTTACAAGTACACTACAGGAGCAAGTGTCTCACCTGTATCTCCCCAGCCAAAGACAAATTTTATTACTTTACAACTTCACAAGCTTTTGGAAAAATCACTTTAATACCTCACATGTAAAAACCTCTGAAGAATTCACCACCCTCACAACACAAGGCTGCTTCCCTTTTCTCTCTCTTGCACCAAATTGAGCCATTTTTACACAACAGCACAGGAAAAAAAAAAAAATCAAAGTCTCCTAAAGCTCTGCTGCATGGCAGATTGCAAAGCAAGTAAGAACAACCCAAGTCTGGCTCACTTTTGGAGCTGATTAAATGCAACACAAAGATGTCAAGGTCTAAAAAAACAGAGCAAGGAGCCTTCAATCCCTCCCAGTTACACTCCACTAGGAAAAAAGGCATTTGGTTTTGGAGAACAAACCAAAGGAAGAACTCCAAACTGGAACTTGGAAAAACAACCCCAGAGCAAAGAGAGGAGAGAACACAGAGGATTAAGAGAAACCAGTAATTTATACTCTTACATGAGATTAAATATTTCACTTGTTCTGTAATAGACTCCAAACCCATCAATCCATCAACGCTGAGCAATTCCTCACTTCCATATCTCTGAGTCCTGAAAACCAAGGCCTTTAATGAGAGAAACATGAAGGTTTGTTTTTTCCTTTTCTTGATGGACATGTTTTCATCTTACTCTACTCATAACCCATAAAAACCAATTTATTCTAAAGCTCACAATAAACACCCCAAGGATGACAGGATGGAAAGCTGCTGGAGCACCAATATTCCAGGTGCTGCCTTGGCAGTGGGACTGAGCCTCACCCAGGTTTTGTCCCTGCTTTTGCACACTCTGCTCCCTCACCACACAATAAAAGCTTTTTCCTGGATTATTCCAATTCTTGAAGCACCACAAAAGCCACTTTTATCATTAAACAGATCAAAAAGCCAAACATCCCAAACTGCCTAAAAGTGAGGAACTGTTTCTAACACATGATCAAATTCTTACACAGAAAGTTTGATTTTTTTTTTTTTCCCCCCCAGAGATCTCAGTGAATTAACTTCTCACAACAAACCACAAGGAAGCACAATGCACTTGCAACTTCAGCAAAAATGTGGGTTTGCATTTTTAACAGCAGAGTTGCAAAGAAAGCAGAAAGTGAGACCAGTTGATTAAAGCTGTTTCTGGTTAGCAGGAAAAAGGCTTGAGCACATTTCTGGGAAAGTTAAATAGTTTAGTCTTGGGGAGCCTTCCTCATTTTCACTCTTGATCCCTACAAGGCTGCTTCCCTTTTCTCTCTCTTGCATTAAATCCAGCCATTTTCTCTCATTTTGAAGTGCCTTGACATCTCCAAATGCAAAGCAAACAGATGTGCAGACAAGGTGAAGCTTACCTGTGTTACCAGAGCTAACCTGGAGGGAAACACCCCATGCCCTTGTCCCTATTCCAACAGTTCCACTGCACAAATAATGAATTCTCCTGGTGCTTTCCAACACACAACGTGCAGACAGAAGGAATTCTTGCCTGAACTCCTCATCTCTCTCACAAGAGATGAAGCTCAGTGAATGAAATCTGCATGAGGAAACATCTTTAACTTGCTGAGACTGACACACAACCAAGGCCAAGCCACAAAGTCCTTCATAAAATCAGTTCAAAGAAAACAGCCCCACAAATCCACCTATAGGCAGGCTTTCAGCAGAATCCATTCACACCTCTGGAATGTAAAACTCCAACAGGGATTTGTCTGCACTGATAAAATTCCCTTCCTATCAGCCTGAAGGTAAATATCTGCATAGCCCAGCTAAGCATGCACCGGAAATGTAGGAAAAGCCTTTAATATCAAGTGTGAAAATCAACATTAAACATCAGCAGTTCACCAGATATTTGCATTAAATTTTAATTAACACTATTACAGACAACATATATCCTTAGATTAGGCATTTACTGTAAGTCACATGCATGAAAAGTGAGGTTTGGAAATTAGTTATTAATTCAGCCAGTCTGTGATCTGAATTTACAGACATCAATCTACATAAAAATATCCCTGCCTTGCTGCCTCCCCTCTCAGGTGGGAATACACACACACACCATGGTTGGAATGGCAGAGACAGGTGATGCTCAGGGATTTATTCCAGGAGAAATGAGGGAATTGTTGCCAATGTGCAAAGATCAGGCTCAGAGAAGGTGCTGCCAGGTGCTGAGTGAGGAAGAAGCTCCCCCAGACAGACAGACAGACAGACAGACACTGACACCAGA